TATTCATTAGGTTATGTTTAAGATTCATCAGATCTCTCAAACTTATTTATCTACTAGTGATCTTACAACTATTCTTACTATTCTTATAGTATTTCTATTACATAATAAATCAGCAATTTCCAAAGTGTGGTTCAATTTTTCAGAGGTGTAGAAGATCAAATCATTTTCATAGTAAGGTGTTTCTTTCCTTTTTACTGTCGTGAAAATTTGTTCTGATAGTGCAAAAGCAATGACTAAAACTACTGATGCCTCAGCATGAATTCAGTACCAAACTAGTAGTCATTGTATTCCTCACTGTCACATTCTCACAGCAAAAAATAGGAAAAGACAGTTTCACTCAACTATTCTGATGAAGCAATGAAAGTCCATTTCAATTTATAACCTGATTATATACCTCCTACTATACTGCAAGCCTAATTAGGAGCATACCCCTAGTACTTCTGCCACAGATTGAAGCAGGCCTGGAGGAAAAGTACATAGGCAATTGAGTTTTGAACTAAACAAGTGACATTTTTTTCATAGAACTTCACTTTTACTTGAAAAAATAAAAGAAAAACATGAGACCTGAGTATCTGGCAGATATTTTCTAAAAAACAAAGTAAACTTTGGACCTTCCTGGTGGCGCAAGGGGTTAAGTGTAAGCACTATGAAGCTATCCGCAGCCACTGCAGCACTGCAGATCTGAGTTCGATCCCCGGCCAGGGAGCTACCCACGTGATACAGCAGAGCTCTCCTGTTGAGCCTGCTGCTCCCCTCAGCAGTGTATTTCAGTCGATCTGCCTGTTCTGTTCCCCACTCTGTCTCTGATGAATCCTCTCACCTCCCCACACCTCTGGCCAGTACCCCTGCTCTTGTATGCATAATAAATAAATCTTAAAAAAAAAAGCAAAGTAAATCTCTCATTTCAAAAAATAATACTTCATTTGTGATAAAAATTTAAGCTTTCAAGTGAAAATCAAAAGTTTGGAAAACCAGTATATACCAGTTGAGCCTGACAGTGTCCCAGTGCTTCAAGGCTTTTCAAGGGTCAGTGGTGATAATAGCAAACTTGATTTTTTAAAATTTTATTTTCTAAGGCAATACATCAATATTTGGGAGATCTGCATAACTCAGTGCATCAATATTTTCCAAATGATGTTAAAAAATCATGCATAAGTAAAAGGTAAGACAGACAAACGGATATCAATGCAACAGAGTTCAAAATGTCCACCGATAAGGTTTCAGATTCCACAGTCCAACTTTAAGAAACATCTGTTGTTTTGGTGTAATATCAAAAGGAATGAACACAATCACCTGAAAAGGCTATAAAATACTCTTCCCTTTTCCAAATGTATGTGCTTTGATTTTCTTCTCCAGATGGTTCAAACAAAACAAGAATGTTAAACATACTGAATAGAGAAGCAATAAGAAAATCCAGTTGTCTTCTATTAAACCAGAAATTAAAGAGACTTGTAAAAGAGTAAAACAATGTCACTTTCCTCAGTAAATTTTTTGAACTGGAAAATCCAGTTATTCTTCATAAAAATGTTATTTATGCTATTGTACACTCTTATTTTTATTATGAGTTACAAAATAAGTCTTAAATTTTTGTTTTAATTTTTAATATGGTTTAAGTAAAGATAGATATCATTTAAGGGGGGAAAAGCTCTTTGGAGTCCTCTATTTTTTAAAGCAAAAATACTAAAAAACAACCCAAAATGTACATGTCCTGAAACTACCAAGTTGGAGACCTGCTGTATCAGACTTAGAGCCTGCATTTGTGAAGGGGTGGTCGGAAGAAGATGGGGAAAAGGCTTAGAGCAAGAGAATGGTATACAGCCCGGGGTTCAACTTTATCATCTTTTGGGCCTGCGACTTTAAGCAAGTTAACTTTCCTTTTGCATAAAAGAAGACATACATGTCAACCTAAGAAGGATAACTTTCCTTTTGCATAAAAGAAGACATACATATCAACCTAAGAAGAATAACTTTCCTTTTGCATAAAAGAAGACATACATATCAACCTACAAAGGATTACTATGAGGATTACACTGTATAAAGGACATCACATGTATATTCCAGCCCTGGGAACAGTGCTATAGTCACAATGAATTCATGAGTCAAAAGAAATGGGCCCAAGAACTTGGGACAGCAGTAAAATCTAGCAAACCTGACTTGTAATCACACATGACTCAATGTCTCTGGATTTTCTATTTCTTTCTATAATGTAGAGAATAAAATCTAGATATACAAAGAGGTCTCAGGCCTCTCATCCTGCATGGAAGATGGTCAGGGAGCTTTTTGTTTATTGTGTAAAGGCAACACTGTGAAGCATTTTAAATATGCTGTGAGTCAACATTTCAACGCATTCTAACCAAATCATCTAGGGTTTGGACTAGGTGGGAAGGGGGGCACCAAAAACAAGAAAGGGGGCCTCCCTGGTGGCGCAAGGGGTAAGACGCAACCTATGAAGCTACCCAAAGCCACTGCAGCGTGCGTTCGATTCCTGGCTAGGGAGCTACCCACAAGGAGCAGCAGACCTCTCCTGACTCGCCCACTGCTCCCCTCAGCAGTGCATTTCAGTCACTCTGCCTGTTCTGTTACCTGCTCTGTCTCTGGTGAATCCTCACCCCCCACACCTCTGGCCTATACCCTAGTTCTTGGATGCATAAATAAATATTTAAAAAATTAAAAATAAAAACAAGAAATCCCTGATAAATCACAGAAAATGGTCAGGACTTGGGCTGGTGAGAAAGTTGAACAACAGTTGAAAAAGCAGCTAATTATAATTGCTTTTTGATGACTAGTTGCTTGTAATTTAAACACACTTAGCTTCAGGTTATTACAAAAGTTTGCTTTCCAATTTGATATAACATGCAAGTTATCTTTTTAATGCACATGTATGTTTTAGTTTGCAAACACACACATGCTTTGCACCACTACAAAACAGTCATATTACCTCAGGTGTAAACAGCTTATAATCTTCTGATTTTGCTGATCATCTCTTATGTCTAGTTTAAAAATAAAGCAAAATGTGCATATCCAAGCATAATCCCATCAGAACAAAAATAAATGAATGCTCAGTTTGTCTAGTAACTTATCTGAATATTACAGAATCAAACTTTTTAACATAATTTACAATCAAATTGCCGTTTGTTACAATATGACAAAACTTCACTGTTCTCAACAATATTTTAGGACAGAAGTTCATGATTCTCAACAATATTTTCGGTATACTGTCTGATAAACAGCGGTGAGTGCAGGCCTCCCTGGTGGTGCAAGGAGTTATAACAGCACAGCACTGTGAAGCTGTCTGCAGCTTCTGCAGCATGAGTTTGATCCCCAGCCAGCCAGGGAGCTACCCACATGGTGCAGCAGACCTCTCCTGTCTTGCCTGCTGCTCCCCTCAGCAGTGTATTTTGGTCAATCTGCCTGTTCTGTTCCCCGCTCTGTCTCTGGTGAATCCTCTTACTCCCGGCACCTCTGGCCTGTACCCCAGCTCTTGTATGAATAAATAAATCTTAAAAAAAAAAAAAAAAACCCAGCAGCAAGGGAATGTGGAGGTTGGGCAGTGTCATTTCCCTAATATCTGTCTGGGTGTTGCAGGAAAGAATCCAGTCTGAGTTTACTGGAAAGCAGATGGGTCACTGGTAGTAGTTACCCATCAAAAAACTCCATCACTGCTTCAGGTCATTCTCAAGCCCCTTATGTTAAATTTTGATTTTTCCTAACTTTTTTTTTCAGCTGGGAAACTTCTGAAAGGATAATGATGATGATGAAAGGAAAAAGGAGTTCTTTAGGGAGTGTCCTATGAAGAGTGTCCTTACCCCTGACAAGGTAGAGGCTGAGGGTAATCTGGGAAATGGAGGTGACTACTTCCCTGCTAGTAGTCACAATTCAAAAGAGGAACTTGTTTTAAAAGACTTAAGGCCAAAGAATACAGCTCCAAAAAGGAGACTTAATCAACCACAGTCAAGACTATAGGTTAGGAAAACAAACTTCCCTCACTTTAAGTCTCCAACCTCATCAAGGTAGGGAGTGTCCCCACTTTCCTGACGAGGATACTAATGTTTTGAGGACTAAGCTGCCTGCTCAAGTCTTGGAGTAGGTACCACAGAAGGTTTGGAAGTAAGGAGCAAGGTCTCTCTTTCTCTCTCTTTTTTAAAACAAATAATCTAATTTATATAAAATTAAATTCAAAGAAAATTTCAGATGAGTTACATCATACAATCCAATGCACAATTAGGATGTACACAATTGGGGAAGATGTAGGGAATAACTTACAGGATTTTGCAGCATGTATTTCTAACTATTAAAATGCTGTTATAGGGCCTCCCCGGTGGCGCAGCGGTTGAGCGCTGGGTTGCGAAGCTGCCCGCAGCCTCTGCAGTGCCCGTTCAATCCCCGGCTGCTCCCCGGCCACCGGAGGAGGGTCCCGCATGGCGCGCAGACCTCTCCTGCTGCCGCCCGCTGCTCCCCTCAGCAGTGTACTTCGGTCCTTCTGCCTGCTCTGCTCCCCGCTCTGGCTCTGGTGAATTCTCTCACCCTCCTGCGCTTCTGACTGTACCCAGTGCTTGTATAAATAAATAAATAAATAAATCTTAAAAAAAATAAAATAAATAAAATAAAGTAGATACACTAAAAAAAATAAAATAAAATAAAATGCTGTTATATTTGCTGTATTATTCCTAGGGGCCTTGTGATAACATGAATAAGAAACAATGATCCTTTTATCGCTCAGATAATAATTTGTATTAATTTACAGTAAATAGTATCTTCAGTTACTCATTTATATTGCTAACTCATTTAATGCCCAAGACAATCCTAAGAAGTAGGTGACATGACATTACCCACCTCATTTTACAGGAGGGGTATGAGAAACATAAAGTAATTGCCCCAAAGCTTCACACCTAGGCAACTGGGCTCTCTGCCCCAGTTCTACAGGCAAATGCACACTACTAATGGCAGCAACTGCTGCCACTATAACTAAGCTGTCCAGTTACTCAGTAGAAAATTCTTACCTCTGGTTTGCTAAGGCTGGATGAAACCAAGGACCCGGATCCAACATCCAAATCCCATTGTTTTTTACCATGGTTTTCAGGATCCAAGGCTGCAATTCGCCCATCTAAAGTGCTGATAATCACTAATGATCTGTGAATTTAAAAATAAGACAAAATTTAAAAGATATTTAAGATATTGATATTTATTTATACTCAAAAGAAACCAGTCCCTCCCCAGCTCTCTATTTGTAGGAGATAAAGGGATCCCATCTCCTCATAAAGCTTATCTGTTGGGCCGCCACTATCTGCAGACCTCCAGAACCATGGCACTATGCCTTTTCTCTGTTTATGTCACCTACAAAAAGCCCCAGACTCCTAAGTCACCCCCGCCCCATTCACACCCTAGAATCCCCATCTGGAGCTCAATGTTTCTCTTCTTCTACATTTCCCCAACTCCTGAGGCATACCCTCATTCTGCCCTGAATGTTCACTTATCTTTTTACTCTTAGTGACACAGACTCTCCCCAGGACAGTGACTCAGAAACAATGAGAATGTTTCTCTCTATAACCCTTAACCACAAGGCTCCACGATGGGGCCGGTGTACACCTTGCACCATGGTATTTCCAGAAAATTGCTTTTTCTTCTTTCTGAGAATCCTCAGCATCAGACTGTTTCATTCACTGTCCCTGCCTTTCCCCCCCACCCCTGCATGGCCCCTAGTTATTGTCTACTATCCATTGGGTCACTAAGCCCATACTGTGATGATTTCAGCTCCTGATGTACTCTCACTATTAACATATTCTCTGGGTTTTCACTATCTGGCTCCTTTACCTTAGCCAGTCCAGAGGTCAGCCCTCAGCCCTCGTCCACTACCCATCACAACTTCCCTGCCCCACTGAAATGTCCAGCACACAACCCCCAGTCAACCCCTCTGTCCAGTAAATTACACTCTACTTTCTTGACTCCAACAAACCTCCAACCCCACCAAAGCCTCTAAGGCATTGTTAACTCATTTTCCCCTCACTTTTTACACTGACCTTCACTAACACTATCCATCATCTCTTTCTTATTTAAATTCCATAGTCCTTCATTTTATACACTTCCTTTCTTACACCCTCAATCCACTCTCTCCTTCCTCACATCACTGGGGTAGAACTCCAACCTGTTAAACCCAACTTTCTGCCTTTTCTCATTTTTGCATCCGTGCTCTTGAAGGTGACTGGAGAAAAAAGATAACCACACTGAGTGGTCTCACTTCAATCATGCACACAAATTTCTATAGGGCTATAATGCTCAGTAATGATATCACATGTTCCTAATCTATCCACTCCCTCCACCGCCATTATAGGTTAACTATTTCATTTTTGTCCTCAAACTTCTAGCACTGGCTCTTGTGTCCCAACTGTGCTACCTATTTCACTGAGGAAACAGATAATCAAAACAGATGCCACTATCATATCTATTCATTGACCAGCAGGTGGGCCCAGGAACTCTCCCTTCCCCGGCTGTGACTGCAGATGAGCTGTCCATACCCCCACTCCCTGCCAGCACTTCTGCCTAGGCAACAGGTCTCTCCCTCATGTATCTCCCACTTGCTCTTGCATCCAGTGCTCCCTCTCTACCAGAGCATTCCCCTCAGTACTCAAACCTGTCATTATTTTCCCAGATTTAAACAGTACACCAGATTAAACAAAATGCACCACTCTCCCCCTTCTAGCTTCTTGCCCCACTTTGGAACAAATCCCTTAAAAGAATTGCAACATACTCTATGTCTCCCAATTTCCTTCTCCCCATTCTACCTTGAACTGTTTCTAATCAAGCTCTTGCCATTAATACTCCACTGAAAAGGTTCTTGCTCGAGCCACCAATGACCTTCACAATGAAAAGCTTGTGGGCAGGTCTTGGTTCATGTGACCATCTGGCAGCACCCGATGAGCTGCTTCTCTGGCCTCCAAGAAACACACTCTTCACACAGCTGCCAGGATATTGTGCTTTCCTGGTGTTTGGATTTCTTATTTTGGTGCTATTCTTTCTTGGCTTCATTTACTGGCTCCTTCTTATCTCTTAAAATTTTCTCTATCTACATGTATTTTTTTTTTTATGGTCTCTTCCAGAGTCATAGCTTAAAATAACATAGATATACTGACAACTCCCAAATTTATATCTCTGGTCCCAGACTTCTCCCCTGAACTCTGGACCTACACATCTAATCTGCCCGTCACATTTAGATTGTTTAATGGACTTCTCTAAGTTCACATATCCAAAATCAATACCCCCAGGCTGACTACCCCAATTTCTCAAACCATGCATGAATTTTCTTTTAGGGTCTATAGCCTGCAACATACACCCCTAAACATATAACAGGCTCTCAATAGGATTATGTTGAATGTAACATATAGTGATTCTAGTAATGTGTAATGCAAATTTTCAAGCACATGACAGTTATGTTCCTGGCTAGGAATACAAAATACAACTTTTATCTTTTCCATTTTACTTAGTGTACAATGTATACAAATTCAAAGTAAAACTACAAGCTGACCAAGACAAAACAGTTCATGTAAACTCATTTGAAACCTTTCTCAGAGAACCTGTTCATCAAATGAATACATTTATTAAGTGAATAAATAAAATTGTGAATTTAGTTGCCAATTTTGAACTTCTTAAAATACTAACTCAGAGTGTAATTTGTTAAATAAAAAATGTCACCACCCTACAAACTTGTAATTTTAGATAACATACCACAAAAAAAAGTGAACTATCTCCTGTCCATACATTATCTTGCTTTTTAAAGAGAACTATCAAAAGTTGGGGGAAGAGAAGGATATTACCAATAAGAAAATTATTTTATAATGAAATAATGAAATGCATAAAAATTCATACCTTAGGTGTGCAATTTTCAAGTAAAAGCAACAAAAAAACTAAGTTGGAGATCAAGGATTCAAGTTAGGTTTACTCTTTCCTAGTGCCATTATAGAAATGTCTAATTTTTGTGTTCAATAATCATTAATTACAAATAATGGTTGAATGAAAATCATTCTAATTGAAACAAAACCTAGCATAAACAAAGTGTTAAGCAGTGAAAGATTAAGGAGATCAGCAGTATACTTCAGATACTTTTTCTTTTCTAATTCATAACCAACATTGCTCATTTATCAACCTCAGCATTCTACTTATACAACAAAAAAACTACAATTTTTCTGAATATGTAGTTATTTGTACTCTGCACACACACACACACACATACACGAGAATAATGGCAAAAGTCTAGCTATCATCTTCAAAATAAAGAAAAATCCAACAATAAAATATATGTATATAAATATACATATATGTAAATAAAATATATGTATCTTATATGTATATAAGAACATTCTAATAAGTCATTTGGAATTTAACAGCTAATTTTTTTTACTGAAAACTTATATGGGGAATATTCACAAATTAAAAATTCTGCCTTTTTGATAAACAAGATACTGTTTATCAAATGAAAAGAAATACAAATATATAGGCAGGAACAATGAACATCGCTCAATTGCTTCTGATATTAATGTAACCTGTTTCTTTGATTTGAATGGGCCACCTTTAAATATTTTAAATCCCCTTATTGGGAATATCAGTAAATCCCCTAACCAATTCTGTCTGGTGTCAAATAAACATCCTTCATTCTCTTATCTGCTACAAACTAGCTATAATATTCACCAGGCTCCTTCCCCAGCATGCTGTGGGAAGGAGGTACCCCTTCTGCTGTGGGTGGAATTGAGCAGCTACCCTGTCTGTAACCGAGAGCTTCCAAACCTGTAACAGCTGTCTCTCCTGACCCCAGTTTTACATGTTCAGCAGGGCAGGTTTGTCATGGCTGCAATGCATTCAGAAAACTTCTCTCCCACATCTTTCTCCAGCCACCCTGCCACTTTAATCAGCTCTCAACTCTACCTTCCTTGTCACACTTTACATTTAGATAATTGTCTTGTGCTCATGATTCTCTTTCTGAAGCTTCTTTTAAATCTCTTCTTCATTACCATTGCTCTTATCCTAGAACAGACCCTCATTTCTCATCAGAACATTTCCAAAAGCCTTTTTGGCATTCTTTCTTGCCTTGGGTCTCTTTCCTCTAAGCTCTTTCAACAATTTTGTTTTTATAACAGAGTGTTGATAAACTTCTGAAGTTCCCTATGAGTAAGGCAACTGCGGTTAGTTTGACACATAAAACCTTTCACAAGCTGACACAAGCCACATCCCGCCTCTCACCCTATAAGCACATTTCTAACTTTTTAAAAAGTCTTCTTGTGAATTTATTTTTTGCCTTATATCTTAAATGATTTAATTTGACTAATAAACAATACTTCTAATGAATCCCCAAATCTTCAGAGGAAATAGTTATAAAGCAATCAAGATATGCACTATTTCCAGAAAGAAATAGCTAAAAATGACTATATTAAGTGATATAACTTAGTTCAAAGCCAAGACACTTGACTTTTTAGTCTTCTCACTGAATGTCCAACTTCCACTAGATTATTTTAAAATATGGACAATCTTATGGATCCCCACCAAATATCAAACTTGATACTAAAGGATAAGTCCAGAGATCCAGGTATCTACTCTCAATACCCAATAGTGTATAAGCCCTAAAAAAAAGATACAAATGCTTTTTGAATGAGTAACTCCTGTTAGTGCAGGCACTATTATTCACATAAGACAAAAACAAAAAAGAGGCTGAGAAAGTATGCAACGATGTTATTTGCCTAAGATCATGCACCAAATCAAAGGTTTTAGGCAGAATTCTGTAGTGTGAATTAAGGTTTTCTAATGTCATTCTGTTAACTGTAAGTTTGTATAAGTGGTAACTATTATAAGGCTATGATGTGAGGCTTTCATTTCTCCCACAAAGCTCATCATGATGTCATTTTATCCTGTTACTGCTGATTGTGTTCTCAACTGAGCAAAAGGGACCGCAAACCACTGTTAACTAATTTTTTTTTTTAAAGGTATGTTCTAACTTAAGAAACCCAGACTACTTATTTACAATTAAGATAATCACTCTAATAAGTATATGCTGGCTTCCTTTACATAGTACTTTTAAAGGAGACTTAGTGCCTATGTAAATTTCCCTTGTGAGAAAAAGGACATGACAGACCATTATATCAACTGAA